AAAAAAAAAAAAAACTTAATTCCAGAGTTTCTGCAGTAAACATTTAGGAAGGAAAATAGGCGTGTGGGTGAATATGAGTCACAGGCACCGCCACCCTCTTCCCTGGTGATTCTCCATTGGAAAATCAGAAACACGGATTGCGCTTATTATTTCTCTTTTACAGGAATAACACTATGCCCCGGGCCATGTTAATCCCCTGCACTAAACAACTCCTAATCTGTTGAAAGGCAGCTGGCTAACTGCTGGTTACCGGCAAATGCCCCATCTGTCCCCCTGCCAGGGGTCTCTCTCTCCTGCCTCCACTTTCCCTTTTTCTCAAGCAGGCGTCTCTCTTTGTTTTCAGGGGTGTCGTTCACCTGAACTTTCCCTCCTAGGTCTGAAAACTTGGGCTCTTTCCTCTTCCCTGCGAACCTCGAGCTTTGTCTAAGTGACAAGACACAGTTGTGTTGACTGTAGTTACCGCGCTGGTGATGGAGATCATGACGGTGATGGTGGAGATGGGGGTGCAGATGGTTTAAGGGAGCGCTAGCTGCGCGGGCGCCAGGAGGAGGAAGATGGACCGCGGAGGCTGTGGAGAGTGGATGCGGAAGGATGCAGGGCAGAGGCACTGCAGATGGAAGCTGTCCACGCACCGAAGTGCTGAAACGCCGCAGCCATGGCATCGCACGAGCGGGGGAAAGGCGGGGAGGCGCTGCACACACAGAAAGGAGAAAAAAGGCAACAAATACCTTCACACGGCCGCCCAGCCTTGCTTTGGGAATGTATTTCTGCAGGTGTCCTCGCTGCTGAGCTGGGTGGGTGAGATTCCCTATTCTGGTAGGTTCGGGCTCAGATTTCTCTAGAAAGCTGTGAATGAAAGCCCCGGCTCCACGGGGCTGTGATTTTGGTAGGAGGCGTGTGCGCCGGAGACTCAGTCCTTCCATACGGAGTCTGACTTTCCCCTGGGTCCTAAATGCCTCCGTACCGCTCCTCTCCCTTGGTCCGTCAAGACAGTAGCAAGAATTATTGTAATTTTGTAACATCTGGGACAGAAAGTACTGGAACCATCATTTCCCCCACAACCTTAATAACAGAATCTTTCAAACAGATTAACGCAAACTCTGAAACACCCATGTGTGTATGTGCGCGCGCACGGGTGTGTGTGTGTGTGTGTGTGTGAGACTTTGATAAAAGAGAAAGGAAGTATCAAGACCTATGGGGAAAAGGATGGATTACTTTCTTAACAAATGGTGTTTTAAAAATGAACTATTAAATTTGATTGCTTAAAAGTTCTTCAGAATGTCAAACTATTTTAATAAAATATAAATATAAATGATCATTTGGAAAAAATTGCAACAAATATACGTATCTCACGTAAAATATTTCATAAATCAAAAGAAAAACACTAACAGCCTAATAGGAAAAAAAAGGGAGCGGGAGTGGAGAGCAAATGGCAAAGAATTCATAGAAGAAAGATGAATACATAATAAGCACGTAAGAAAATCAACCTCACCAATAATCAGAGATATGGCATTTAAAATAGTACTGAGGTTCAGTTTTGGCTGAGGTTTTAAATCCACATAATATCTCATATTATTGAGATAATAGTGAGAAAGTACATCCTTTCTGTAACTCTATTTCACAACATACATCAAGTGTCTCAAAGTATACATGCCTTTAAACCCAATAACTTCACTTCTAGCACCTTACTCTGGGAATGTAATCAGATATGTAAGCAAAGATTTGTGTATATAAATTTCATTTATGATCACAGAAATTGTAAAAAAAAAAAAACTAATGAAAGCATTAAAACTGTATGTAACCTGTAATATTTGCAGCAATGGAAAATATATTTCGAATATTATTTAAAGACAAAGAAAAATGTTTCCAACATGGTAAGTGAAGAAAAGCAAGATAACAAATATAACATTTCCTCTCCAATTATCAAGATGGTAAAATCAAAAGATTGTGTGAGATTATGGAAGAATTTGACATTTCTCAATTGGATTATTTGGTTTTCTTCTTGGTATTTGTCTTAAATTTCCATATTATAAACAGTTATGAAATAATTTAAAGAAATCATTCTATTATATATTTCACAGAGATTTTAAAGTTTTCAGAATTCGGTCAAATGTGACATCTTTACTTATTTGTTTATTGCCTATTTATCTCTAACAGAATGTAAGTACTGCTAGGGCAGGGAATTTGTCAATTTTGTTCAGTACTGCTTCCCAAGCACCCAAAAGTGTACCTGGAACATTGTAGGAGCTCAATAAATATTTGTGGAATGAATGAATGAATGAATGAATGGATGAATGACGTAGTGCCCATACATGCAGATCTACTTAAAGATTTAATAGTTATAAATTTCACATAGAAATTTTTCAGAAAAAGCATATTACACCCAAGTGATCTGAGATTGCTCCTGAGTTTTGCTCGCATGAGTTCAATTAAAGGGGCATCTTCAAAAGTACAGCTAATCACGGACATGACTTGCACAGTGGCACCAAATGTGGATTTTTTTAAAGAAAAGTTTTCTCCAATTAATCCCCACATGCACGTATATAAATTTTTATCTTTCCTGAGCGATCTTATAATTTTATAAAGGAAAATTATTCCCACTTATACGAGGCTGGGACACAGACCTAGAACACTTCTGCCTGATCATGTGATGAGCCTGAACGACATAGACAGTATAACCACAAAAACTATTGGCTTCCAGAAGACAGTCTTACATTCTGAAAGTTTTAAATGACTGTAAAATTCACTTGCACTGACCCGAGAAAGAATAGTAATGATTTTTAAAATAAATCACTTTTGTTGATAATTAAAATAGATATGTTCATATATTAAAAGACTTACTTTTTCCCAAAGAGCCAATGAAAATATACTATTTCCCATGGATATTATCCTTGTATTTTTAATGATAATACTTATCTTCCTATGCCATTTAAAATTTCTAAGTAAGAAAATTTTCCCTTTACTGAGCACATGTGTCTTCACTGTGTAGGATCATTTTGTTTCTGGGGACCCAGATTGTCTTTGCTCAAACCTTTTGCCTGCTCACCGCAGACCAGAGATTTCTAAGAATTTCTCCCCACCTTTATTCTCTCTAATGGATGTTGTACTGATTTTTCTTTCTTTTTTTTTTTTTTTTTGCACACTCTACTCAATCTCCAAGTCCCTGGGTGGTGCAAATGGTTCGCACTCAGCTATTAACCTAAAGGCTGGCGATACAAACCCACACAATGGTGCTGCAGAAGAAAGGCTTGGTGATCTGCTTTCATAAAGATTATGGCCAAGAATATCCTATGGAGCAGCTCTACTCTGTAACACACGGGGTTGCCATGAGTCAAAATCAACTTGATGGTAACAGGTTTGATTTGCTTGTTGGTTTACTCAACCTCCACTTCAGCTCCTCACACTGCAGCTGCCTATACATTTGTTCTCTAGGATTCCTCCATGTACCCCTTTGTACAAACAGCCAATGCCAAGGCAAATGCGTGGCCTGTTCACAGGTGTCTCTCATGTTGCCTCATCTTGTGCCTGACTTTCCCAGGTCAGTTGCTCGTTTCTTTACTGCATCAAAGGACTCTGGTAATGTTGGGGTTTCTCTGGTCTAGGCTTGGGTGGAGGGAGGGTGCTTTGTTTGGGTGGGGTGGACTGAAGCCTGGGAGTCCAGCCAGAATAGGATAATAACCAGAAAAATCCTTATATGCATCAGGGAAATGTTAGGATGATATTACAATGGCCAAACAGCACATTTCTAGACAGCTGCTTAGCTTGGATGTTTAAGTTCTGGGGAAACGCGTGAGAAGCCAAATTGCAAAAGTAAGACTATTTCACTTAACCACAATAACATTTTGTTCTTCCCACAGCTTTATGATGTACATCTCAATATATTATCAAAAGAAATTGCCACTGATATTTCTATTTTCTGCCACAGTCTGCCCTCAGGGTTACCAGAGTATACTGCTTACCATTTGGCAGGTTACTTTGGGGAATCCCAATCTTTTTCACACAGTCTTCTCATTGTTGGACCAAAAAGAAATTGAGTACTAGAACACTAGTACTAGTACTATACACCTTAATTCCCACTAAAACTTTCCAAAATGTAAGTAAATTTTTGAGAGGGATTATTCATCATGTTATAATAACTATGTGTCACTTAGTCTCTTTCAGATTTTAAGGAATAGATCCACATGTTAGCTACTTCATCAGATGGGACATTATTATAAGTATATACAGTTTGCAATAATAATAATAATAATAGCTAAAATTTATTAAGCTTTTAATATGTATAAGCAATATAATAAGTTTACAAGTAATACGTCACTGAATCGGCATAGCAATCCCATGAGGGAGGTGCTTTTATCATCCCCATTTTACCAGGGAAACTGAATTATAGAGAGATACCATGCTTGAATAATTTGGGCAGCTGGGATCGTATCCTATGTCTGTCTGTCCCCAAGGCCAATCCTCTTAATTAAGCACTATACTACTGTACGATACGAATCCCAGAAGAATTGGGCAAATGGCTCTCTTGGAGAATTAAAATTCTCTATGTGTCAATGTCAGCTTGTGTGGTTTTGTAGTTAGGTTGTCTCGTAGCTGCTTCTACCTCCACTTCCTCATCTTCTACTATGTGCTTCTTTCACTCTTCTCCTTCTACCTCATGACTGCTATTTATATATGGCCTCTGCAACTCATGCCCTATGCCTACTGCCACCTATTTCTGTAACACATGGGGTTGCCATGAGTTGGCGTTCCCCACTCTGCCCTCGACTTACTGAGATTTTGTACGTGTTACTTAAAATCACAATCTGATTGGCTTGTTTAGTCATTATCAAGTGAGGAGTGTCCTATCAGGTAAGATTCTTTCATAGGCAGCACAGTAGGCTATGCCATTGCTAGCTGCCTTTGACTCAGGAGCAGTCCTTGTTCTCATTGCTTGTGGATGGGTGATAGTGGAGTGACATATTTGCAATAGAACGCTTATAGACACTCTTCTCAAAAGGGACCATGAGAAGTGTTCAAGACTTTGTGGATTGTTTGCTGCATATCATTAACATCTTTTCAACTTTTAATATCTAAAATTGACAAGCCAGTCCCTTGGCAAGTTTCCAAGGGTTTGCAATATAG